TGTGTGTGTGTGTGTGTGTGTGTGTGTGTGTGTGTGTGTGTGTGTGTGTGTGTGTGTGTGTGTGGGTGTGGGTGTGGGTGTGGGTGTGTGTGTGTGTGGGTGTGGGTGTGGGTGTGGGTGTGGGTGTGGGTGTGGGTGTGGGTGTGGGTGTGGGTGTGGGTGGGTGGGTGGGTGGGTGTGTGTGACTTATGTGTGTGTCTTTAAGACCCCAAAGTTGCGCAGCCTTCCGGATGCCATGTGGCTGCCTTCCTTGGCTGGACAACTGCTAGAGGCAAATGTAGCCAGACTTAGAACTGGACCCCCAGACTACTCTGAACCCCAAACATTCTCAAGCCTGGCACAGCCAAGAAACTGGAGCCCTGAAATCAAGAGGTGGCTCAATCTGGGCACATTCCGTAAAGGCTTACGGAGGTGCTTGTACGGCCATGCAAGGCGTCAGCCAGGAGTTTACCTGCATGAGTTTCAAGCCAGGTTATGATGCCAAACAACTATACCTGAAGCTCAGGGAAACTGGGTGAGGAGGCGATGCTCGTGGTCAAGGTGAGCAAACTGCGATCGTTTAGCGGATGCCACAAGCATCAGATCCGTTGAAGCTGGGGCAGTGCCAGGTGGTAGCATCAACAACGTTGCCTTTTCATCAGAGAGTTTTTGGGGCTCCGTTTCAGCCATTTCCTTGCTGGTAAGACCAAAGCCCAACGTATTGACAAGTGGGCGAGGGCCTGGCGGGTGAACCTTTGGGATCCCGAAGTGCTGTCATGGCACATTTGCTTGCTACACCTGCTGCATGGGTATGGCCGAAACGAGGCCCAGCAGCGAGAAGCGAGTGGATGAGGACGATGGAGGCACCGCGCACATAATTATCATACTGGTATCAGGCAGGGCTGCCAATGGCTGCCAAATGTTTGGCTAGCAACATGTGACCCATCGAATGGTAGATAAAAGTACCAACAAATCTCAAACGCCCGCGGGTGCTTGGTGAAAGGCAAAGAATTCAGATCGGGCGCATCTCAGTACCCAACGGCCAGAGCATCCATGTCGCAGTTTTGGAGGTTTGGTAGGTTTTCGTGCCGACCCCCCTGCTGCAGTGTATGGCGGGTGGGGGCGGGGGGGCGAGGGTTGGGGAAGCGCAGCCCATTCCTTCCTTTCTCCCAGTAGTACTGTTCTATGTGATTACTTCACGTAGCAGTGACAGTTTGTCCAGCTCACAGCATCTTTGGGCCAAAAGGAAAACAAACACCAAGACACAAAACCAATGAAAAGCACATCGACACGCTGACAACAACCGTGTGCCTGCTATGCCGGTCCAGTCCAAGATGGGGGCTGAGGTTTGAGTTCAAGGAGAGAATGCAGTCCAAAGAAGTATTCCTCGGGACTAAGGCAGGCTCTTGACCGAGCGTCGGTGGATGTGGCCGTGCAGCCAGCCAATTCTGAAACCAGGACTATAATTAGTGCATATTCGTGTGGCTCAAGCCACGGGATCGGATGCATGCGGTGGACCCGTAGCACATGGGTTGCGCAGCATTGCGCGGCCTGTGCAGGAAATTACTGCGCCAACGTCGCTACGCACGGACAGTTCGCTGATCAAGCCATGTTTTGTGGAGATGCAAGCAGGGACAAGATGGGGTGAGTACCATGGGGGCCCGTGCCTCGTGTGAGAACGACTGCCAGATATCAAAAGGAACAAATATCTGGAGAGTACCGCTACACAATGGCATCAGGTCGCTTGGGACCCATATCCCAACTCTTGAACTACAGGGCAGCGGCAACTGGCGGATCCGAGCTGCGGAGGACAAACAAACCACTCACCAAGCAGCGACGGGAAGTTTCAGTATTTAGACGCGATGTGATAATTCGCGGCATGCAACCAAATCCGAGAGAAAGTTGATGTCTACACCGACATCTTGCCACTGGCAGAATATCCACACAAGCTCTCACTGCTCTTGCTTTCAGACGCCAAGTGCTGTTTGTGCCATGCGGGGAGAAGCTGGAACAATGAAGCCGGGGACTTTTGGGCGAAGCTGTGCCAAGTCATGCCAAGTCTACAGCAGGGCGTCTGGGGCTTGGATGGGCTTGAGGGGGCTTTGAAAAAAAGTCTAGGCCAAGCTTTGGTCGATTGTTCCAACCAGTGCGTTCAGCCCAGGTGTTCCGGAGTGTTATGGCAATTTCTGTGAGCCAGACGAGAGGGCGTGCCGGGCGTGCTTCGGAGCTGTCTAGTGTTCTTGGATCTTTGGCTGTCTAGCAGACAGCTTGAGGCTGTAACGCCTCAGGTCGTGAGCGTTACATTTGGAAAACTAGGTGAGGAAGGGATGGATGGATATTGGACTCATTAGACCTATGTTAGGATCTCAATTTTTCACAAGGGAACTCGACTGCTGCCCTTACTGCCCAGACCCTTCCCACGCCACAGCGCTTATGACTGCAGGGCGAGATTCGCCACTTAGGATCTCAATAAGTCACAGATTGTTTAGGAATCATGCCCCCGAGATCCTTCTGATTTAGCAATCCTAGTGTGCATGACGATGCGTTGTGCAAACAAGGCGCCGGCTCAGTCCTCACCGCATCTCCGATCAACGGTCTGTCTTGGGCCAACACAGCTTGGCGAAGCGGACATCCCTAACCATTTTTTTCTTGGCAGCTTCGCCGGGCTCCGCCACCCTCCAGCCTCTAACGAATGGCCCAGACTTCAGCACAATTCTTCATTAGAATAATGCACGGCTGAGCATTGAGGATCCCTTCGGACCTGGTGGGGGCTCTAGAGCTACAGACACGATACCGCTGGCTTGTCCAGGGCATGGCTGATCAACGACCCCGGCTTTTTGAGTGCTAGGTCGATCACCGTGCGTAATTAGCGGGTAGCCGCCAAGAGTCACGAGAGGCAAACACAAAATGGTGGGGAGATGTTGCTGTGTGCAGGTTTGGCGCGCTCATCTGAGTGGACACATAGGGTTCCAGTCTTTCATCTGCCTGCCTCCTGCACCAGTTCAGCTGACAAGCTCAGATTCTTAATTGCATGCCCAGTCAACTATCCGCCGACCCCGCCCCCACCGCGCTTGGGACCAACCGCCCGGTCCCATGCCCACCCACACCAACCCCCCCCCCCGCCTCCAACCCCCCCCCCACCCCCTCCAGAAAAAACATCAAAAACCTCAAAAAACTCTTTTTTCTGGTTTAGAAACAGGTTGAATACGCGCCTGGGACCCGACCTGCGACTGCCTCTGGTCACGCCTGACCCGTGGGAGCCTCCCAAAGACCGCTAGGAAATGGCCGTGCAACAAATGCATACCGCACCTCCAGCCGCCAGCGCAGCGTGAAGCTTCTAAACTCTGGACAAGAATCTTCAGAAAGTCTGTTGAAAGCGTGCCAAACCCTGACATTGTGCCAGAAGTACGTGACGGCACAAACCAGCCCTCCCCCGCAGTATGACAAGAAAGTAACAATCCACTTTGTGTTCGCCTCGCTTGCTCCACCACACGTGGTCAACTGCGTCATGTTTATGTAAAAGCAGAATGCAAACAGCAGCCCTGGGACAGCTGCCACATAAAAGGAACTGCCCCGCCCGGGGCCAGCGCGTATAGTGCCCCAAACATCCACAGCGTCACCACCTCTACCAAATCCAGTCACATTCTCCAATGTGCCGGGTCCCATCCAGCCAGAAGTTAAGGGCCGCTCCCACCAAAAACACAACTGCCAGGCGCACAGCGTACAAAAGGGCAGAGTTCTGATGATAAAAACCTGGCCGAGAGTACATGTCCCGATGTGCAGCCATTGCTTGAAAAAAATAGGGCTGCGAATCTTTGCCCAATCGATGAATGGTAACTGAGTTGGGAGATGCTGGGAGCCGGCTGGGGACCAGGGCCAGCATCCTCTACGCTCTGCACGAACCCGACTTTGCACAAGCCTCTGTTAAGCAATCAGGCCAGCTACATCACAACAGCCCAGATACCCAAAGATGACAAGGTGTGAGCCGTATGCGAACACTTTGGGAACTACACTGAACTGTAAACTTAAATCTCATGCTCTATCATGCTCTACATCTCTTCAATCCAAACCAGCAATCGGAACTGCGGCCCTGCCAGATCTAGATTTTTTGCTCGTGTGCTCACATTTCAGAGATGCCCCGCCCTGCGGACACCTCGCTATGAGGCCCAGCTCAGACCAAGGAGACCCGATGACTTCGGACTGCGGGGGAGAGATCCCCAACACAACTCGAGGTACTCAATGACTATGTATGATCATCGCGCAGCTTGTCAGCCACGATGTTGGGGGTCACCCCTCAAAGGTCGAGCACCATGCTCCCCTGCGGGACAATAATACACAGGCTACAACGGAGATCCTGCACAGGCATCATGATAGGCTTCACCGATGTGCCATGAGATGCCAAGAGTCCAGCAGTCAGCCGCAAACACACAAAGAGAGTCGTAAACCTAACTAACACACAAGCCAACACACATACCATGCCAAAAGAGGAATTGAAGCAGGAAACGCTGCTACTCAGCTTCAAGCTTTTCAATAGCTGCAATAGCTGGCCTCCAGCGTTCGGATCTCTGAGACGCTACCTCCTTTTGCTCCAGCAGTAAACCCGAGATCATGACCGTGGAAAGCCGCTGGTATATTTAGCGGGCACATAAGAGTTTGTATGGGCATCGCTGGGGCAAAGATGCCATCAATGCCGTCACACTTCATGGCCACCCTGGGCACCCTGTACGAAGGCCATTTCCTGGGATGACTCGACATGAGAATGCTCGAGATGTAGCTCTTCCACTACTCAACGGTAGCAGGGCGGACGAGAATCGGATGACAGCTTATAGTTCAGCCCCACTTGGGCCACGTATAGGGTTGTGTAGACTTCTTTATTCACTTTATTCTTTCACTCTGACATAGTGGCTGGTGGGCACAGGGTACGACAGCAGGCAAAAACCAACGTGCACATTGGAGTAAGCATCCATGGGTCAGCTTGAAATTTTGCAAACTCGTGACTGATCCTGGGCTTGCGGCACTGTCTAGATGAGGTCAGCCACATTCATGGGCATCTCGTCAATCTGGGTGGAATAGAACCTCCGCTTCGCGAAGATCATCCCTACGGCGCACATCAGGTCACTGTTAAGGCAATGTAGCTGCAAAGTTAAGACCAGCGCTGCTCAATATCTCGCAAGATGCGGATGTCGTCATTCCTTGCAAATCAACACACACGCACGAGGAGGTCTCGGATCGGGTCTGGAGTGCTACTGCAGCAGCTTGATGAGCCTGGTCCGGTACAGGTGCAGGGAACTGCTCGGGATTGCAGAAAGGAACAACCAAAGTTTTGCACAGGGCTCAAGGCTTAGCTATCGAATCAATTCTATATCGCCGAGGTGCTTGACGAAGTTGATGGCAACACCCTTTCGTCCAAATCGTCCCGATCGACCGATGCGGTGAATGTACAGCTCGCGGTTGTTCGGGAGGTCGTAGCAAATGACCAGAGACACCTACCAGGGTGTCGAACATGCCATGGCAAAAGTCGAATCAGTGAGTGTCTACAGGCAGCATCAGGCAACCTGCTGAACATCCAGACCGCGTCCCCACAGGTCTGTGGAGATCAGCACTCGGCTTGTGCCCGAGCGGAACCTGCGTGAAGGCATGAGCGTCCAGAATCAACGACACTTCCACCTCAGTTGAACTAAGGCAGCGGCTGCTGCATGATTGCATCTCGCTCCTTCTGCGGCATGTCGCCGTGAATTGAAGCAACCTCAAGCATATCAGGACCGGCAATGGTACTAATCATTACAATGATTACAAATCTTGACCACGCCGTTTGCGAGAAACATTCACGACACCAGGCCTGACTTTTCAATTATGCAAGTTCGCAAAACATCCTCGTCAGATCCCGACACCACACTATTCGAGCCCCAGGCCTATCCCAAGCCCTTCCGAAGCCAGCACTCGCCCCCTCACTCTCCTAAGCCCCATCTCGAACACCCGGGCCGAAAACCCCCACAACCATTCAAAACACCTAGAAAACAGGGCCCGAACACTGCAACCGCTGCAAACACCCTGACCCAAACTCGGCACCGTGAAGTTGGCATCGCGCATCTTCTGCGTCAGCCAGTCCACCTGGTGGATACACGAGGCTTGGAGAGTTGGCGTATGTACGATTTGAGATATCGAGGCATGGACTGCACAAAGACTTCTGCTTGATTGCAGGTTGTAAGATGTTTGTAAGGCATCTCAAAAGGCCGAAAAAGAAGAGTTGCTTTCAGAAGGTTGACCAGGGTATGCTTCCCAGACCCGAGCCTTCTGCTTCGTGTTGCAGAAAATCACCGCCTGGTGGCCACCACAATGCTAAAGATATCCGAAAGACTAGCCCAGGGCGACTCACACCTGCCTGGGTGATTGTGAGGGTGTCATACCTTGGCAGGAGATCTTTACAACCTTTGCGCCTCAAGCTTTTGGCAGCAATTCTTTTCCTGTATTACTGTATGGCTGCTTATGGGTGTTGTGTTGACGAAGTTCCAAGGAGGCATTTCAATCGTGCCCTCGAAAGCCACCTCAAGAAGTATGCAGAGAACACCGAGAATGTTGAACGCCGAGCTGCAGGTCGCAAAGCGTATCGAACTTCCACCTGGGCTCAGCTCGGCGAACGTGCATGCCATCCTGCACCATTGTTACCATGCTTTGGGTTCTGGGAGTAGACTGCATGTGCTTAGACGCTGCCAGCAGTCCGCCCATGTTGTGTCTTCTCGCTTTCTGAGTATCTTTCATCGGGCAGAATGGACCCTACATCAGCATGTTGGGTCGAGCAGCTGTTCGCGCTCCACTGCCACAAAGAACTGCTTGATGCCTTCCAAGGTCAGCCTGTGGCTTAAGACAGAGTGCCACAAGGTCAACCAGGATGGCTTGAAGAGATTGAAAGGACCTTTGCTGCAAAAATTGAAAATCCTTCCCTCATCAGGAGTTGATTAAAGTGGCAAAAAATGTGTCGGCTCCATAGAAGCCGGACCACAAGACTAAACCTGGTTAACCCTAAACCCTAAACCCTAAATCCTGGAGTTTCAGCTTCAAGGTTCTCAGGATAAGGGTAGATCACAGTGGTATCTTCCAAGGGTCCCCTCAAGCCATCTCACACCGAGCCTGTGAGTCGTTTGAGGTTTAGAGCGGAGAGTGCTTTGAAACTCTTATTTAAAAGACATTTCAACTCCGGAATAACCATTGAGCTCTAACTCCTAAAGCCCAACTCCAGGCCAAGAAGCTCGTCACGCTTCACCAGGACGCGGAATGGATTGTTCCTCGGGTTGCGGGATTGAGGTTGTGGCGAAACTTGACCAAGGCTTGTTGAAGATCTTCAGGGGTCTTGGAGCTCAGCGTTTGGATTTGGAGACCAACCTCAGGATCCTTCTGCGATGGTGCTTGGGCTGGCATCCAGCCTCGCCGACTGTTTACCGTAGCGTAGCCTGAGACGGCTGAAATCCTTGCTTTGCATGACTTCAAAAAGTAATTAGAGAGGATCCCAACCGCTTGTAATCAAGGGTCAACTCCTGTCATCAACCCTCGCACTTGCACAAAATGTGTTTTTTCTTCAGATGCTCTGCTCCTCGGCGTAAGAATTCATTGTGTTTTCACTTTCATGTTTTCGTGCAAAGATCAACTGCTCCTTGACGTGAAAACCATCTGATCTAGAAGGCAAAACGCCTGAATGTTTGTTGCTCGCCTGTTGAGCGGCAGATTTCTAATCATCAGGGAACTCAACCAGAAGGTATCCAAGTTCCTGTGCACCTGAGACCGCGATCGCGAAATTCATTCTTCGTGATTCGTGATGGCTGATTTGAAGCGAATAAGAGGTTTGCCACCACCTGCGTGGCTGCACCGCTGACGGCCGCGCAATCACCAAGTCCAGAGCCACTTCGAGGAGGATGAATATCCCCAGGCTGGGTCTTCTCCTGTTGTGCTATTGCTTTTCGATCATGAAAGGGACTGTCTGAGACCTTCGCTTCGGTCGTTTCCAACTCGTAGCCGAGATCAATAATGGATTGCTTCAGCGCACCGATTTTTCTTCCCAATCTTCGTCGTGACCTCCTTTGAGCTCATCACGATCGCATCGTAGATTTGTTGCGGTGCATTGAAGCACAGTGGCCAAGGCTTTGTCCACCACTCCTGCTCGCTGCAACGAGAGCGTTGCAATGTTCGGAGTGCCAAGAGGGCCAAGACGGGACTCACGGGACTCACGGGTCGCTCGAAAAGCCGTGATATGCAGCTCTTGGAGTTCTTGGCCCATTCTGCTCCGTGGCGGAGTCTGGAGGAGTGACGCGGTGCAGTCGAAGCGTCGAAGCTACAAGGGGACTGCTGAGCTTGGACTCAAGACTGCCACATACTCGGCCCCTAGCTGAACTGACGGGTTCAGGTTTAGGGTTCCCGGCCTTGGGCTCTTTCCTTCCGCCTTCTTTGCATCCTTTCTTGCACGTTTCCCTCTCTTTCCCGGAAAGACCTACAAAGGCTCTCCCAGGAACACATTGCGGTACCATCCCTGTTCACACCTTTAGCACACCCTTGTAAGCTTGCTTGCAGGGCCCACAATCCCGCAATCCTGTTACCGCACCAATTCTCGCTGAGCCACATGAACTTGTGCGTCATCTCCAGGACCTCGTGCCTGCACTGCTTGTGCTTTCAGAGTCGGGGTTGGATCTTCTGCATTCAAGCTGATTCAAGCCTGAACTCTAAACCTGTTCAGAGTTGTGCTTGCTTTCGTTTGCCTGCTTTTTTCTCCGCGCTAGGAACAACTCCACAAAACTAGCGCCATCAACCCGAATGAAGCATTTATCCTAGAATCTGGTGGGGAAGCAAAACTGCCACCCTCCGGAAAGCAAAGCACGAGCGTCAGGCATCGCAGTGCTGCGTGCGCTGCATGTGTTGTGTGTGTCGCGTGTGTCGCGCGCGTGTGTTGCTTGTGTCGCGCGTGTTGCGCGTGTCGCGTGTGTCGCGGAGTGTCGCGATTTGTCGCGCGTGTGTGGTGTGTCGGGCGTGTGTGGCATCATGGAGCACCAATGCACATGGCGCCCGGGACGGGCACAAGATGGGCGGAAAGAGTATCACGCTAGCCGACTTGCGATCTTGGCATCAAGGACGTACGACACGATCACGCGAACACATCTACCGAAAAGCTTACCACTGTGTAGCACAAACAAGGTGGCGACATCTCGCCGTGCATAAGGGATTCCGACCTGCAATTCGAACTGCTCAATCCCCTTTCGCGCGTGCTGTACGGGCTGTGCGAGCTGTGTGTGCTGTGCGTGCCGTGCGTGCTGTGCGTGTTGGCCGTGTTGTGCGTGTGGTGCTGTGTGTTGTGCGTGTTGTGCCTGTTGTGCTTGTGGTGCGTGTGGTGCGTGTGGTGCTTGTTCTGCGTGGTGATGTGTTGCGTGGTGATGTCTCAAACGGTGACATGATGCCTGGCGATGTATTGCGTGGTGTCTTGTGTGGGTGTGTGTGTGTGTGTTTTGCGTGGTCTGCGTTGTGGGGTCTGTGTGCTGTGTGCTTCTGTGCTGCTGTGCTGTGTGGAACAAACCCAGAACTATGCTAGAGTTGGCCGGTGCTTAAGCTTCCTGTAGAGTTCACTCGCTTCCACCGAGGGGTTTTGGGGTACTTCGGAGGGCCCAGAGACACAGCCAAGCAGCTGCTTGGCAGCTTTATTATGCACGCTTTAGTTGCAAAGCTCTTTAAGACACCACCCCTTCCGCAGTCCGTGCAGGCAAATCACGGCATGGTGGCGGAGACCAGCACCACCTGCGCCCGTCTGTGCCCCATGCTCCAGGTATCTCTCTAGGATTTCTGTGGCATGCGATGCTTCTGCTTGAACGAACTTTAGGGACACTGTCTGAAAAGCATTCTGGCCAATATGACATCTTTCCTGCCCTCGAAACAAAGGGGTCGAGAAATCCAAAATGATATGCAAAATGCCAGCTTCCAGGCTCCCCCCCCCATGGCCTGATGCAAGACCCTTTCGTGGTTGGCGCACGCAATGGCCAACGAAAACCCTTCTACCAGGAAATGTTCGCATGGATAAGCTTGCCAGGGTGCAAGACTTGGCAGAGTGTCTGAGCTTCATAATTCACTGAGAGTTCGGGATCTCTCACAAAGGCCTACAGAACCAAGCGAACTGGCTAGCTGCAAGCGATATAGCCGCACAGGCAGAACTAGATCTGAGTTTGAATCTATAATCACATGTTACTATAGTGCTCACCCGCTCAGCGCCCGACCTGAGTAGAAGGCGGGAGGTATCTGTAGATATCGTAGACCTGCTCCTTGAAGCCCCTGGCACGTCAAGCGTTCGCACTCAAGACGACACAACAGGCTGTGTTGGCTGTGTTTGAGAGCCTTGGGGATTTTTGTGATGCTGAGATGCATTCGGTCAAGGGTACGTTCATGCCAGCTCGGGAAAACATGGGCAATGGGAAGATCCATAAGTGTTCAAAAGCTATCAATCTGCAACAGCCGAGCACTGTTCGTCTTGTTCGTGGTGTAGAGAGCAACTTCTCCTGCGCTTTTTGTCTTTCTTGGCTCCTTGTTCTCCCATATATACTACGCTCGCCATGACTCCTTCGGTTTCTGGATGAAGAAGACTTGTTCAAGCCGTTAAACAGTGGCGTCCACGCCGCCAGAAAAATGGCTACAGAACAAAGCGTCGAGTTGGAAGACACGGGTAGTGGAATCAGAAAGAAGCGAAGCAACGGGCCCAGCTGGACAGAATAAGCACCAGCCTCTCGTAGCCTCTAACCCTAACCCCCACACCGGCTTTCCGACTCGGGTCTTTCTGTCGTTAGCTGAGCCCTTTGCTCTTTTTGACTCGGTTCTGTGTTTGGTGGTGTCTGGCGCGCACCTAGAACCTCAACAACCATAAATGCCCTACAAGTCTGAACTTGCGGCTCTTAGCGAGTGTTATACCACGAACCAATCCAGAATGGCACACTAGCAATCGCCCAGGCAACCTGTTGAGCATCTCGTCAGCTTCATCCAATACCAACATCTTGATGTGGCGTGTGCTGAAGTGGCGTTGCCTTACTCACGCAATCTCACGCAGGGGCCATGGGCTGGTAGGGAATGAAGGGAACATGCAGTAACGAGCGTATGCGAGCAGTGTCAACACACTGGCAACTATCTGTGGGCACTTCCGCAGCTACTTCTGAGACATGTGCTGTCATGTACGGCAGTAGCCAAGCTTGCCTGTACACCGACAAGCCTAATGGAGAGGCATCGGATAGGTTCAGCCTGTAACCTGCCAAGCGGCTGGATCATGTGGAAGACCCGCCCAGGTGTGCCAGAAACTATCTGCACTCCGGCTTCGAAAGTGTGGATGTCATCAGACACACGCTTTCCACCGATGCACACGTGAACCTGAACGTTGAGATAATCACCTCAGCTTCGCTCTCTCGCGTGAGTTGATACCACCAAGCACCAGGAGACTCCCCCAATTAACCGACGCACTACATCATGGTAACGATACAGGTCGGAGATGGCTGAGCATACATAGAATAAACACACAAGAATACACTATTGTATTTCCCCAATCAGAGTGGCAACACTAAGGGATCCAACGTCAAGGGTAGACGGGGCTAGATTGGCGTTCCCACGGGGTGCCCACGGCCAGCGCCCTCGGCCCAGAGCATGGTTTTGCCAAAGGCCTGCTTGCATTTTGAACGAAAACCTCGCTGTTGCCTAGGCGCGGGCGTGGCAGCGGTGTGCTGTCGTCGCTTTTGGACTTCTGGGCTCACGAAGTGCGAAACTGTCAGTGCCAATGGAATGTTGTCTGCAGTTTGAGGAATGGCCTCGGTCGATTTTGAATGTGCTCTAGGAGCATTGGAGTGTTCTTTCGAGTCCCCATGGTCCCGCACTGTTTGGTGTTCACGCTGGCACAATATAGACGCATGGTGCACATTCATGTTTCACCAGAGTCAAAAAAGGCGCAAGTAACACATGAACCCTGCACGAAATGCAAAGTGCCAATGTTGTCAAGATGCCCAGGGCCAAGCAGACCTTTTGACTTTGCTCCGCCAGCTCGCGTGTAGGTGAAAGGAACAATGCCTGACCGCAGGCACTAGTGACTAGTCACTAGTGAGTGCATGCATCTGCAAGCAATCGGGAATGTCGGAACTCCACGAAGCAAAAATCATTGACTCGCCGTTCAATCAATGCTTCAGAGCTGTCAACACCGATTGCAAACACACACGCACACACAGACACAGACACAGACACAGGCACGCGCACATACACACACACATATACACAAACACATACACATACACGTACACATATAGGTACACGTACACATACACATACACATGCATGCATACATACAGACATATGCTGAAGAACTTTGGCATCCCGTCTCTTCAAAGCACATCAGCTCTACACTTTCGGGTAGAGGACAGTCCAACCACAAGCGCTTTGCTTAGGCCGCAAATTATGGCACATGTACCGACCGCGAGGTAAGCAAGCCAGTCATGTGTCTAAGCTTTCGCCTTGCAGTTTAGTCCTCGCTACCTCAGTGCTCGCGTTCTGTGCAACACCTAATGGTCCACCTGCCATCGTCAACCATTGTGGAATCGAATGGTGCTGGGAACGGCAACTCACCTCTCTATATCCTGATCAGCATCTTGTCAACACCGCATTTCTGCATGTCAGCTCGCCATGCTCAAGGGCGTAGACATGCACTTCGCTAGACCAACTTTTAAATTTTAGCTTTGAACCATGTGTGTTATTGTTGCTACTGACTTCGGCCCTCCTTGCTTGTTGGCCCTCCGGTTTGCAGTCGTCAACCCTTGTGGTTTTGCCGTTCTGCGAGGTGCCCAAGTGCCCAAGCCTGTCCAGAAAGCAGGAACACGTGGCGGCTCTTCAGGTGCATCGGTATTCAAGTGATTCTTCTTGCCGATTGTCTCATCTGGTCTCTTAATGTCTCTTAATAGCTTACAATTCTCTACCCAAGCCGGGTACTTATGCTGTCGCGCTATGAGAATATTTTACAGTACCTCTTGATTTGACAGCAGGGACCCCAACTTTTCAGAGGCTCGGGGCGTTCAAACTTCTCAATGTGTTCTGCATTTTCCATCTTTTTGGGGGGGTGGAGGGGAGGGTGGGTGGGGGCGTCCAATATTGTCAGATTGCCGTCTGGGAACGGTTCTTTTGCGTGTTGCTGGCGTGCTGCAGCAGCTGGACTGTGCAGAGGCAGCTGTGAAGTCACACAATGCCTTCTCCAGAGAAGATCGCGAAAAGAATGTGGTGCACTCCAAGCTTCTCAACATAACAAGCGTCAACGAGGATGATACTGTAACTAAGGTCAACACGTCAAAAATGTAGTTTGCCGCTGTGCCCCTCTAATGAAGGGAAACTGTGCCACACATGCAATAGCCTAACTATTGGCCTAATTACGCAAGGTGCAATCCGGACAATTTGTTGAACCTCGCGTTTTGGTCTCAGTATTGATGCTCGGGGGAACGTCTTATTGTCAACTGCATGGGGTTCACACAGCTTTGCTTTTTGGGCAACTGCCCTATCCAAAGTTATTTCCGAGATCCCGGGACAACCTTGACATGAAATGGTGCGATCATTATGTCATGCTACGTCAATGAGCGCCGCAGATCAGTTGGTTTGACAGGGTGTAATTCTGTCCATGTTCAAGTGACCTGACTGGGTCTGGCTAATTTGATTGATGGAGGAGCCGCTCAACAAGCCGTATATTGTTTGCAAGCTTCGCGGGCCTTTCTGGCGCTCACATAGCGCGTACATCGCCTTTTTGTTCGACTGGCAGCCGAAGCTTGAAGCCAGATGCGCACATACAGCAAAAGCACGGCGCGCGAGCCGTCCGAATCATTGGATGAGGCTGGCGCACATCACTACATCCCAGCGTTAAAGCCTGAGGAGCCACTCAGCCCAAAGTGCCAAGCCTGAGGCTCGCGGGATGTAGTGTCCACAGTCTGCAGCGCACCCAAGCAAAAGACGCATGTCTTTCCTGCGACAGCCAAATAGGATAGTTTCCAGGGCTTGACATGAATAGCCATTACCGCAAGTAAATTTACAACATCAAGCAGGGTCGCGAAAAGAAGTGTATGCTCTATCTGAGCAAGAAGCCAATATAAGAGTATAACCAGCTGCTAGAAACGATGAAAGCAGTGAGCACGTCAACAAGTGTCTGACCATGTTGTGTGCCACTGCCTTGGATACTGCATGATGCTACACAGCAAATTTTAAAACTCTGCTTCTATGATCGGAAAAGGTGCGTTGATTAGTAGGCGGTTATTGTTTTGCATGAAATGGCCGAAAGCCCATCCGGGCCCATCCTGTACCGCTTTGCGACTGGACGATCACGTCTCGGCCCTTGAGGATGGGAAGAATCGCCCGCTGCTGCACCGCCGAGGGCCGTTCGAAGCCTAACTACAAGCCACCAAGGAGAAAGCAGAAAACGATTTCAACATGTTTCAAACTGGGTTTCAAGCTTCTGCTATCTCACGCTGCTGGTTGCGCACCGATGTGAGAAGGCACATGGCAATGGGAGAGCGGGCCTGTCGACTAGAACCTTTCCACATGAAGGGTTTATGGGTCTAAGCGTCTGGCCGTACGCATAGACGCCTGGCAGAGATTGTATGAGATTGTCAAAGGATCTTGTGGCAACTTGGTTGCCCTTCATGCAACAGCACCGTTTCAGGGACCCACTGAACCCACCACACGCATGGCCCATGCAACCACCATCTTGCCTGTCGGGAGGAACTGAGTAGCAAATCGCCACAGCCAGTCCATTGCAGCAAAGAGCAACAAGCAGAGATGAAAAGAAAGAGACAGACTGCACAGGCTGGCTTTTTGGGGGTCATTTGCGTTCACTAGTTTCATAAGGGTTTCAGGAGTTATATACAGACAAGTCCAAAAAAGAGTGACACGCACATGGGGTCTTTGAACTCCGGTGAAATGAAAGGGGCGTTCGTGCAAGACTGAGATTGGTGTGGAAGGGCCAGGGTTGGCAAAAAGTTGGCTGGTTGGTGGTCGTGGTGGTGGCGGTGCTGCTGCTGCTGCTGCTGCTGCTGCTGCTGCTGCTGCTGCTGCTGCTGCTGCTGCTGCTGCTGCTGCTGCTGCTGCTGCCGGGCTGGCAGGTGGCAAGCAGCAGGCAGGCAGGATTGATGGACCCAGGCAACTCAAGCACTCAAAGTCTGTTGTGCTTTTTCTCAAGAACCACGTTTGGAGCCAGTATCCAACTGCTATACGAGGGGGAGTATCCAAGCGATAGCTGTTCCACCGTCCGTTGGTGGCTGAGTTGCGCATGCAAAGCTATCAAGTCAAGCCTGGGTTCGAAAAGCAAGCTCGAAAAGCAAGCTCCCACCTCGGAGCAAGTCTTCCTTGAGCCCAAGGGCATCGAAGGTAGGCAACACCTTGAGTTCCAGGCAAGCACAGCAACACGCCACTCATCCTAACGCAACCGTCCCGGACTACCCACGTCACCCGCCAAACGATTCATAACGGTCTGGGACTTGATGCCCCAGGCACTTCCACATCCTCAGAGGTTTCGAAGACCAGGCCCTCGTCGTTCGGCTTCGACATGTCCTGAATGCCAGTGTTGGGATTAGGCCCCTTGAGCTTGTGAGCTCAGAAGTAGCACAAATTATGAACAGTTTGGTCGTTTGCGCGCAGTACTAGCTAAGCGCGTGGCGTCTTCGGCTTTGATTCCAGGGGCAAAGGCAAAACTAGAATGACTTGTCTGAGCCACATTTCAAGGCAATGCATGGTACATGGAGGCGCTTTTGACATCGGCAAACTTCCGAAAACCACGGGCTCTTGGTTTTTCTCGGGTACTCCATGGAAGTAGCGGAATGCGAAGCAAGGAATGGCATGCCTGACTCTGATGATCGACCACAGTCGGAGAAACATGGTCTTGTCACTCACCGCGAACGGCACCTTGGAATGGCAGCTGCGGAGTGTATCCGCACCTTATAGCCAACTTCCGGAGCACCAACAAGCACAGTACAAGGGTGGAACTACATGTAGTATAGAAACTACATGTTGCTTCACTCGAAAGTACATGTAGATTTATAACACTTCAATGTAGTTTTACTGAAAGTACATGTAGTTTAGTGAAACTACATGTAGTTTTGTGGAAGTACATGTAGCTTTGTGAAACCACATGCCATCTTACTGTAACTACAAGTAGCCATACTGAAACTACGTGGAGTTTATCTAAACGTGCATGTAGTTTCATAAACTTTAAATCCTGTAGTTTAAGAAAAGCTCTGATTTCCACTAAACAAATTCATTGGCTTTCGTAAAAAGAACAGTCTCGATAAATTATGGGAAACACAATTTTTGAATACACAGCTGTGCATTTCCGTTTGAAAATAAGGTCGCCGGCTGCCTTAGAATTGGACCGCTTCTGTAAGATTTGAGTCTTTTTGAGAGGGTTCTCTTTGCTCTAGATTTGCAGTTTAGCTTTCTCGGGTTTATATCCTACGGGGCGCGCACGTCGCCGGTGACCAAGGAACCCAAGAGGCCAACTGAGGAAGAAAAGTTGGGCACAATGAGGCGGTGGGGTCAGCTGTAAAGGTGTCTGCTGCTCTGCGCTCCCTCCTTGCTGTTCTCACACGCAACTCAGACTGTGCAAATGAGGGTTGGTCTAAACCCCCGGCTCTTGACTCGAATTGACAAAAAGGCTTCAAAACATGGTTGTGTGCAAGGAACACGCAAGGGCGGACGCAAGAAACGAGCAAACATCATTAATATCTACACAAAGCCATCTACAGAAGAACAGCGTGGCAAACCCGATTGAGTTGCAACGACTGCGGTTGGCACCGGGATGTATTTGTGTTGCCCATTCCCAAATGCTGCATTAGATTAGGCTCAGGCCGGAGGTTTCGGGGTTAACATAGCGTCTGCACAAAGTGTGGGCAAGGGCGGGCGCAAGGAACTATCATGCCTTCAACAGGTGTCCAGGGACTGTGGTAGGTGCCACAACTGTCCGGTTCTTCTTTTTTCGGAAGCCTACTGTGGCAAAAACCACAGGGCCAAAGACCATGTTTGATGGTCGAGCCCCTCCCAGGCTGAGGGATACCAGGGAGCGCGGAGCCTTTCTTCTTCCCTCCCTCTTCCCCGGGCTGGGGACGTGACTTCAAGCATTTTTCCAACTACGGGGGGTCAACTGATCCTGAGCCGTCCCAGAGAAGTTGGTTATCCTTTAGAAGTTTTTCGGGAGCCAAAGAGGTCTAAGCCTCCTCCAGGCCGCCCCAAGGTTTGCTTCCAGACGGTTGCCTCTGGCGCCGATCCAGGAGTGGGCTCTGATCCCACGCGGCAAACATTCTCGGAAGAATGGCGAGAGCGTTCCCCTCCTAAGGCTGCCCCTGGTGCCGCTAGGGACTTCTCTGCCTTCTCGGTCTCGGGACGACCCTACAGGGGCATCGGCGGGGTCCTCCCGACGACATCTTTTCGAATGGGATAATCGGCGTGGCGTGATAAATCTCCAATCTTCCTGGATCCAAATCGCACTCTCGCCTAAGCCGGTGGATCCAAATCGCACTCTCGCCTAAGCCGGCACTGGCGGGGCTGAGTCGCCTGCGCTTTTTGAGGTTTGATTTGATGAGTCGCCTTCACGTTTTGAGTTGTGCGTCCGTTCCAGAAGGGATTTGCAAATCGCGGTCTGGCGCTCCCCCGCCTCATTCCGGCCCTTGGAGTGGCCTCGGAAATCTTGTGGCCCTGCATCTCTTTACTCTAAATGGGTTGTTGTCAAAATGCTTGTTCCCGAAATTGACGTTAAATCGGAACTCCCTCGGTGCCGCCTTATGTCCTCAAGGAAAGAGAAGCTGATTGAGATGGAGTAGCAAAAGCGACAATTGAAGGATCCAAGCATGATTTCCTAGAAAGGGTGCTAGCGCGGACCATTTTTCAGGCGCTGCTGTCGGACGAGTCGTCACAAGAACTGGTAGTGTTACTGCTACATACTGCTACTGCTGGAGGTCTGGCGCGAGCGAAGGTTTCTCTGCTGTCGCCACTTGCGGGGCTCGAGCTCCAGCAAGCATAGCACTCTCGGTTCTATGGTGTTCCTTTGTGGTCTGCTAGAGGAGGAATGGGCCATGGTCTGCCGGGGGAGGCTGCGTTGACATTTTGCTAGCGCCGTGCTAGCGCGGCACTAGCGCAAAACACTGTGCCGGATCTTCCAAGATCTGATACTGCGACGTGATGAACGACGAAAACAAGCCAGGAGCAGCGAATTTGGGGTCCTTGTCCAACATGTTAAGAACCCCGACCACCAAAGGATTCCTGAGAAAACGCAGTAGAGTGGGTCCCGGAACTTCAATGCCTCATGCCCCCCCCTCTTGCCAGGTATCCTGACAGCTGGCTATGCATTGACAAATTGAGCCGTTTCTGCTTTTACAGTTGTCCCCATAGGTAAAGAATATGGATGGCGGAGAACCGGCGGGGGGGGGGGGTGGCCCTGATACTTATTACAGTTCCAGTTTGGGAAAATGACGACAGACCGATTTTGCAGAGTTTTTAGTTGTGGCATTTGCTGGTGATTGGAAAAGAATCAGCACACAGTACCGTTCGCGAAAGGGCAGCAAGAAGTACAATGCAAACGCATCAGGTTTGATATAGACTTATGCGTCGCAAACAGCTGACCGAGTTGAAATGCCTTGAATCAGAACCAGCGCAACAAAAAGGAACCTGAACGATAACCCCAAAGCTTTGAAACTTGTTTACATGGTAATGCGTTAACCTAGATACCAAGCTCCGCGCCCCTCATGAAGATTGTGCATAGAATTGCATAGATTGTGGCAAAGAGCTCAGTCCCATTCTGATGAAACTCCCTGCATCTCTGCGAATGCCATTCCATGAAGCCACCCCTGCCAGATAAACGACCAAGACAAGAAACGACCACAGAAAAAGAACACAAAACAAACGATGACAAGGAGCCAACACAGACGAATTGACATCCCCAAATAGTGGACCAACTAAGAAGGAGCGAGGGAAACAGAAACAGCGAACATTGACACGGTTCGATACGAAACGCAACAGACGGAGACAATGCCACATTACGCTGAGGCCGATGGTCGAAGATCAGGGGTCAGGAGCCCGCCCCGGTTTCCTTGAGAATTAAGGCCATTTTTATTACCACCGGCCTGGCTGGCCCACTGTTTAGGTTTAAGGAAAAATCAACAAATTTTCCAGTGCAAGAGCAACACATATCTGCTCCTACCACGACAAGCCGGGAACAGCCCCTGCCAGGGTTGCACTATGTTTCAATTTGACGTTTCATCCAGTCTCACGACTGGGCGTAAAGCAGGGGCCAAATCTGCCCAGCACTCAGACAGTTGGGCTGTTCGAATACATTGTCCTGCTATCATTGCGCTGAACCCAAAGCCCAAAGTCATGAAAAAAAGACCTCGCGCGTGACCATCAACCCTCATGTCCCGCGAAGCTGCCCTGGAAGCAGAGCATTCCAAGGACTCTTTTCCCTGCTGGTTCCTTGGCTTGTAGTCATGCGCAGCGAAGTGCTGATGCAGCAACCATGTTTGCATGGTGCCGAACAACCCAGCCGCGTCTTATGAAGCAGGGCATTATCATTCTTCGCATTCCTTGCTGCCGAAGCAAAGCAGGAGCTAAACATATAAACGGCACGTGCATTTTGCGGCATGAGATGCACCCGTTTCGTACTGCGCAGGGCAGCGCGAGAGTGACCAACGAAAGGAGCTTTGGCCGCATGCACGAAGAACGAATTCCCCAAACCATCACGACACGAGACTGTGCGGATAAGACTGGATGTCAAGCTAACCTCTTGGCCTGTTTCATGAAATCGCGGGTGTGGGCCCAAGTCTTCTACTCGCGAGTGAGCGCTAGTGCCAAGTTCACTCAATTTCGGCTCTTCGGCCTCCAGGCAGTGCAGATCTGGAGGGCTAGGCCTAGGGTGGATAGGGCTTTGGTTGAGATATTGAGGGTGCTGAGTAATGGGCTCAGAGCAGCGAGGTCAATCTCCCAGCTGGCCCTTCTCAAGAAAGTCGAAAGAGTACCACCTGTACAACTTAACCCTCACCACGAATTGATTCCATGAACTCGAGGTTACGGGCTGGGCATACAACTTGGATTTGGAAGGGTTCGAATGAAATTGTCAGGCAAGCCACGAACCTCGAACCACACAAGAGCAACTTCTTGCATGCCTCTCTGCTTTTTAAGAGGTCGATGCCGGTGCAGGCTTGAGCCTGGGGAAAAGTTGCTGGGAGATGCTGGTTGGACTTAAGGACTTAAGGCAGTTACATCATCTGAGAAGGGTTGAAAAGATATGAGAACCGGGACCTGCGCTTTGAACTGCGCCATGAGGGTGTATGAAGGATGCCACGTCGACCCGAACTTCGGCTTTTGCCTCTCCTCCCTTTCTGGGTTCGAACTCCAGCTAACACAGAATTCATGCACATCATAACCATGACAATGCTTGAACCTGGGTGTCTAGGCTGCAAGTTTGGAAGCAGTCCAGCCTAACCCGAATCCGTTCAGAAGAGCAACGTAGCTCAAAATCCGAAAGTCTCAAGTCTCACAAAACTAAAGACATCTGAGGCATCATA